CGGGCAGAGTCCGCAGCGGCCGCGGCCGCCGCCCTCCGCAGCCCCCGCACCCCCGCCGGGCTTCCTCCCCGCGGTGCCCGCGCGTGTGTGCGCGTGTGTGTATGAGCGCGCGTGGGTGAGCGTGTGTGCGCGCGCGCCTCCATGAGAGAGACAGAGACGGACATCTAGAGACACAGAGACAAAGAGCAGATGGCGACGCTGGTGTTTAGGAGAAGCAGGTCTAACGGTGCCACAGCCTGCCGGCCCCCAGATGTGCAGGACAAGCCTGCAGCTGTCAGTGTGACCGGGACTGCTGGCTGTGTGTGAGGCGCCCGCGACGGTAGGGGTATGGACGCTGTATCCAGACTGACAAGACGGCCCTGAGAGGGTATGGCCGGTGTGCGAATGGCTGGGTGTGTGACAGGAGAGGACATTCGTGGCACACGTGTCAGGGTATCTGGTGGAACTCTTCCTGAGTTGTCTGTGATGCTCAAGGGACAGCCGTGACTGCCGGTTTCCAGGGAAGGTGTCATTGTGTGGCGGTGACCGTGTGCATCACTGAGAAGTGGCTCCATACGAGACACAGTTGGGGAGGGCCTGGGAAAGGATCATCTTAAGGGCGATGGCAGCAGTCGTTTGCCAGCACAGAGTGTAGCTTTGCGGTCAAAATGGTGTGTCACCTACTTTCGTCACTGTGATCGGTTCCACCTACGCTTCAGACTACATCCTCACCCACTGGCCCAAGGTCTTAGTTCTTTAAAGGAATAACTTCAACTCTTCCAGAATCTTCAGAATCTTCAAATTCTCCCTCTCCATCAGCTCCTTCCCATCAGCATCTATCACGACAAACAGACTCTCATCAAGGTCACCCTGTCCTCCTTCCTATGGTGGACATTGCTGGATACTACCTGCTGGAATCATGGTATCCACTGGCTGCAGCAACACCATTCTTTCTCTTGGCATTTCTTCTTCGTTTTCTTTGTGTCCGAGTCCTCGGGGCTGTCTCCTCACTCCCCATCTGCTCATGTGCTCAGTTGTTCATGTAGTTTCCGTCACTATCTGTTATGGTTGGAACTGAGTCCCTCAAAAAGTCATATGTTGTCATCCTAACCCCCAATACCTCAGAATGTGACCTTATGGGGAAATAGGGTCATTGCAGGTATAATTAGTGAAAATGAGGTCATGTTGGCCCATGCTACTCCAATATGACTGGTGTCCACACACACACACACAGGGAGAACAGCATGTGAAGACGCAGGCAGAGATTGGAATGAAGCTTCTACATGCCAAGGAATGCCAAAGATTGCCAGCAAACCCCCGGAAGCTAGAGAAGAGGTGTGGAACAGATGCTTCCTCACAACTCTCAGAAGGAGCCAATCTTTCTGAACCTTGGACTTCTAGTCTCCAGAACTGTCAGACAATAAACGTCTGTTGTTTAAGACAGCCAGCATGTAGTACTTTGTTATGGCAACCCTGCAAACTAATATATCATTTAAATGCTGATGACTACCGAATCTCAAATTCTAATCTCCAAGCCCCAGACCACTTCAGGAATTGAACATCCTCTAATTTGTGCCTAGATTTTAATTTATAAAGGTGACTGAGTGACAACATGGAGAGGTCAATGCCACTGAAAGAAACATTTAATGTTACAGTGCCCGAGAAACGAGAGGCACAGCTCACCACACAGGACGGCAGGGGGAGGCACCAGTGTAAGAGGGCAGAAAGGAGCCAGGGGGGAAGGCACAGGCCACAGCCTCTGCTAAATGGGAAAGGCAAGGCAAGGTAGACAGTTTAGGATTGGCTAGTTGGAATCATTCAGGCAGGCTTTGGGACATAGGAACTGTCCCTAGTTATCTGACACCTGACCCTGGGTTGATTTTAGGAGAGGGGAAATATTTGGTTTGTTGAGTGAGAATTAGATTAAAGTAGTAGCTCAGAGTATGGGCTCTGGATTGCAGGTGAGATGTCAACTTTGGCTGTTAGTTTGGCTCTGTGATTCATGGATGCCAAGTAGACAAATACAGAATCTAAGAAAACACAATTAGCAGCGAGCACGCTACCCTCTATGTGTCTAAGAATGAATCTTCCTCCTCCTCAAACCTTCCTCTTCCCAGTTCCCCTATCTCAGGGACTGGCAGCGCCATGCATCCCTGAGTCATACAGTCAGAAACTTGGGAGTCCTTCATGATTTCTCCTTCTCTCCCAACCTCCAACCTACCACCAGGTCCTATCAATTCTGCCTCCTATCTTAAAGATCTTCACTCCTCTTTGGAGCTTCCTCCAGGCCAGGCTGCCATCTGCCATTCCAAAATTCTCTTAACAGCCTAACTGGCCTGTTTCCTTTCTCAGCCTCCTTCAATCCATTCTCCAAGTTGCCTGAATGATTCTTCTACAACACAATTCCGGTCATGTCACCCACCCCTTCGTAAAACCCTTTGATGGCTTTCCTCCACCCTTTGTTTAAACTCTAACATCCCTTTTTTTTTTTTTTAGATTGTATTTATTTATTTATTTGACAGAGAGAGAGAGACGGCGAGAGAGGGAACACAAGCAGGGGGAGTGGGAGAGGGAGAAGCAGGCTTTCCGCGGAGCAGGGAGCCCGACGTGGGGCTCGATCCCAGGATCCTGGGATCATGACCTGAGCCTAAGGCACCCCAAACTCTAACATCCTTTGTGTAGCTGCTCACAGCTTGATTCTTGACCAACTCGTATGCCCCAGACACACGAGATTTCTTTTGGTTCCTTTAAGAAGTCTCTCACATCCAGGCTTTTGCTTATGCTGTTTCCGCTCCTGAAACTGTTCTCTCCCCACCTCTCCTTTGCCTGGGAAACTCCTACTCATTTTTTGGTTTCATCTTAAGTGTATCGTCGTTTAACATCTGGGTACACTTTCTCTGACCCAGGGAGTTTGGGCACCCTCCTCAGTGCTCCCACTGCAGCTGTACTTCCCTTACCTAGCCCCATGCTCTATGACAGGGGTTCAACCCCGACTACACATTTGAATCTTCCAGAGAACGTCTAGGTTATATTGACATCCAGGCTCCTCTCCAGACCAACTGTAGCAGGGGGTGAGGCCTGGGCGCTGGTAGTTTTTTAAAACTCCCAGATGATTCTAATCTTCAGTCAAGGTTGCAAACTACTGCTCTGTTAAATTATATATTTATTTCCACATTCCAGGAGTGTGATGACAGGGCACACCAACCCCAGGGCATCCCTAGTGCCTGGTACAAAGTGGGTGATGAGTACATATCCGTCCTGCTTACTTGACAGGGATTAGATGAGACAGTGCAGAGTGACACTGTGTGAGTGACTGTAACCTGTGTGTGTGTGAGACTCTGTGTGGAATGCCATGCACTCAATAGCTGAAACCTGTGTGACAGTGTGGGGTGTCACGGTGTGAACGACTGCGTCCAGTATGGGAAGACCACTGAATGGCTGAACACGGTGGGACTGTAGAGCGTTTTCACAAGGTGAGTGGCCGTGTCCTGAGTGGGGAGGTCACAGGATGCCACCACGGGAGTGGCTGTGTCCTGTGGGCCAGTGACTGGGGACCGTGCCCAGGCTGCCCAACTCGCGCGGCCGGGGCAGGGTTTGAAGAAGGCGCTGGAGGCACCTCTCACCAAGATGGCGGCGGTGGGGGAGGCCGCTAGTCCTCGCCAGGGGCGGCACCGCCGGTGACCCCGAGGCGGAAGCAGGAGGCGCCCGGGCGCGCGACCCGGGCGATGGGGCGGGGAGGCCATCAGCAGGTGACTCGGCTCCGCTCGGCGGCCCGCGAGGTCCCGGCACCGCCCCTCACCACGCCCGCCGCGGGGCCCAGTGGAGGTGGGCGGGGCCCGGACCCCGCACCGCCCGGCCGCGGCCGCGGTTCCTGCATCGGCCGGCCGATGGCCTGTAACGGGCGGGGCCGGGCGCTGGAGCCAGTCAAGAACTTGAGGGTCGGAACCCAACCACCCAAGATGCCGAGCTCCTCCCAGAGCCCTCAGAATGGCACCTGGACAGAGCCTTTCTCCCTGCTTTTAGGTCTTGGCGCCATCCTCTACTTGGGCTACTACTGGAGATATGTGCCCCAGGCGGGTGCGGGTCCAGAGCTCTGGCCGGCGGGTTTAGGATCCTCGGGCCTAAGGAGCAGCTTCCAGCCAGGGGCTCGAGCCCTTTGTGGGAGGTGGCACGATTGGGCCTTCCGCAACAGGTGAAACTTGATGCTCCCACCCCACCACCAGCCCTGCCGCGTGCCGCAGCAGGGTTCTGCTTTGCTCTCATCACCTAACGGAGAGTCGGTTCTTTGCCTGCCTAGATTCTCTGCATCCCGTAGGCTCCCCGTACCAGTTAGGCCTTTCAGGCACGGGGAGGGGGGGGGGGTGCTGCTCCCTAGGATGTGGGCAGACATCTGGGGAAGGGCGGGGTGGAAGGCATCCCAAGGTGTCAGGGAGATGCTTTCCTCTTCTAAAAAGGCAGTCTAGCTGAGTTTCTCACTAGCTTCACCGAATAAAGGAACTGGAGGCCTGTGTGGCTCTGGCTAACTCCCACCACCTCATCAGCTTAGTAGGGCCTTGCTTCTCTCACAGGCTGGGGGAGGTTCCCTGCCTAGCTCAGGAGTAATGGATAACCCTGTCGTTCATTCTGCCCTGTTTTAACTTCTAGGCTCTCCATGTATATATGGTGCAGTGGGCAAGTCTGAAGAGATTTTTCACTGAAATTCAGATAAAATACATTAATTTACATATCCAGAAAAATCTAAATCTTTTTAATCTTCATTAAACTGTTCTAGGTAACTGAGTCTAATATAAAACCAACTGATTCAAGCCCTTAAAAAAGATCTATAGGGAATTTAAATGTTGCCTAGACTTCTATTTTCAGAGCTTTTTACATTCGCATGTACTGTCTGCCTTAATAAAAGATCCAAACCTCACAGTACCCTATAAATCTTACCTTCCATGCCTAATTTCAAAAGTCAGTCATTTCAAACCAGAGCTCACCTTAACTAACCATTTTCCTTTGCTTGCAACCAGCCACAAAGAAGTCAGAGACCTCTGCCTCTTTATATTACAAACCCTTCCTTGACTTCCAAATACTGGTTAAAATGCAGGAAGTGCATTCTGGAAGTCCTGAGGAGTTTGGATTGTCCAGCATGGTAATGGACTAGTATTGATTCATCCACAGAGACCAATGGCATATTACTAATTGATTCTCAAGAAATGAGTCAAGAAACTCTTCACTAGAGCTAAAATGAAATTAACCTGTGACCTAATCTGTTCTACACTGCTGAGCTGTTTGATCAAGGATTCCATAAATTGATAACTCAAAATCCTGGCAATGAGGAGGTAATAGAGTACAGTGACCAAGAGCATGAGCTCTAGAGTCAGACCTGGGTTTGAATCCCAGCTCCACCTCTAGCTGTCTTTGGCAAGATAATTTATTCAACATTCAAACCTGTTCCCATGGGGGAATCACAGGATCTATGCCAAAGAACTGTTGTGAAAATCACAGGATATAATCATGTAAAGTGCTTAGCACAATGCTTGAAACCTGCGCACTCAACAAATTTTACCTACTAGTATTGGTAGTAACACCATTAATTGCAAATTCCACTTTGCCTCTTGCTTGCTGTGTGACTTTGGGCAAACAACTTCATCTGAGCCATAGTTTCTTCACTTACAAATATCCTAGCCCCTAAGGTTGGGCTTAGCCTAGTACCTGCGCATAGCACACAATGAATCACAAGCATCATTATTCCAGGGCTTAAGGAGCAGGGTACAAGTCACATCTCGAGACAGTGGCATGAACAACTTGGCCTCTCTAGTTCATAATTTACCCAGCCGTTTGTGAGTACTGGCCTGCAGAAGACCTAGAAATCTGATCATCAGGTTCCTTAGGGCTCGCAACAGAAATGCAATTTCTATTTCTTGAGCCTGAGGCCTTTTGGCTTTCTACAGCACACCCCTCTTTCGTAAGCCATGTGGCTAGGCCCTCTCTCACTTGATGTGCATCCGGAAGAACCAGCAGAGGCGTTTAAAGTCAGGGCCAACTCCCCCACTGACCTGTATGTCCCTGCCATTCTGTTACCTTCCCTCTGGCTGGCATAAAAGGAGAGAAAAATCTGTTCCCATCGGGACTATTCCTCCTTTGGAGTATGCTCTAACAGCAAGCCCCATGACTAAGAAAATGAGGTGCTGTGGTCGAAGCCCTTCAGCTGTGAGCACACGCTGTAGGGAACACGAGTATGTGGCAATGGGGTGCTAAAGCCAGGAGCCAGCATGGCCAGAGCTAGTCTTAGGAAGATGCCAGTGTGGGTAATTCAACTGCAGAGCAAAAGCCACAGACTGAACGGTGCTGTACTTCTTCAGCCTCTGACGGGGATGCCAGCCCTTTCCACAAGGAGTCAGCTGGGCAATGTATATTACCTGCTCTCTCCAAACTGGGGCTGGGGCACGGATAGGCGGAGTGGGAGAGTCAGCACCCGGTCAGCTGCAGCAGCTCCCAGCCCTGGCACTGAGTCAGTTCAGAGTCAGGCCAGGGAGGTGGCACTCCAGGACTGGAGTTCTTGAGGGCTCTGGCTGGACTATGTTCATAGAAGTGACTTAGCCGTTCCGGGCCGAAGTGTGCTAGACTTCTCACCGCCTGAGGCTGGCCTCTGGAGAGGGGTCACGCTGGTGTTGGGCGTCTCACCGGCCTTGCAGACACCAGGGGAGTGAGGCAGACTGTGTTGTGGTTGCAGAGGCCTCAACTGGTGACTGGGTCCTGGTTTCTGGCCTTCCTGGAGCAACACTGTCCAGTCACTCTGGAGATTTTCTACCCTACGCTCTGGTGTTTTGAGGGGCGGCTCCAAACCATCTTCCGAGTCTTACTGCAGTCTCAGCCTCCAGTCTCTTACTGGAGGTAAGAAGGGACAGAAGGGGTAGACATGAGGCTGCAACTACAAGGGAATCCTGTCTTCCTTCTTTAAACTGAAGGTAATCTTTGCCCCATCTACCCCGGTGTGTTGGGGGTAACAATGAGAGTGGCTATATGGAAGGGCTATTTAATTGCTCAACCATGAGGTAGTATTTAATCATTTATGTCCCATTACACCTTGTTATGGTCTTTTTTTTTTTTTTTAAAGATTTTATTTGAGAGAGAGAGCATATGAGAGAGAGAGAGAGAGCACAAGCAGGGCCGGGGGCAGAGGGAGAAGCAGACTCCCCGCTGAGCAGGGAGCCCGACGCGGGGCTCGATCCCAGGACCCCGGGATCATGACCTGAGCCGAAGGCAGACGCTTAACTGACTGAGCCACCCAGGCGCCCCATACCTTGTTAGGATCTTAATGTCTTGCATAACGTATGCCCTCAAATGATGCCAATGGGAAGGTTTGGGAGTTGTTTGTTGGGGAAGAGAGGTAAACCTTTCGAAGTACATGGAACTCCTAATAGTATATTTGTGTGCCCTTTTCTCCCAACCCCAGTGAAGTCCTCCACACCCCAGATGGAGGCCAGTTCCTGCTAGACTGGGCTGGCCAGTGTGGCAGCAGTCAGTACCCTGACCCTACTACCCAGCCCATTGTATTACTGCTTCCTGGTATCACAGGCAGTAGCCAGGATTCCTAGATCTTCCAACTGGCCAACCAAGCTCTGAGGGATGGTTATAGGTAAGGATGGGCCAAGTCCAGAGGAAGTGGGTCGTGTCTGAAAACTTGTAACAGGGAGGTCAATGAAGACCCTGAGACCTCTGGGGAGAAGGCACTATATGAAGGGCACCTTCTGCCTGGGGTCTTTCTGAAGGCTACCAGAAGGGGAGTGGGGCTTCTAGAGAGGGTATGGCTGAGATGTACCTGTGTGTGCCACAGAGCTGTTGTATTTAATAACCGGGGCTGCCGTGGGGAAGAACTGCTGGTGAGTACCCTCCTTCCTCATCGTAGCCCTTCCCCCGACTCCCTTAAGAGATCCCTGACCCTGGGGTTCTACCTACCTGTCCTCCTTCCATGCTCCTTCCATCTTTCTGCCTTCAGGCCATGGCCTCCCTCCCTGCCCAATGATCTGGTTTGCCTCAGACCCACAGGGCCTTTTCTGCCAACAATACTGAAGATCTGGAGATAGTCGTGAACCACATAAAGCACTGCTACTCCCGAGCTCCACTGCTGGCCGTGGGCATCTCTCTTGGAGGGTAAAGGTTGCCTGGGCTTGACTCACAGGCCCAGTCTTCCTTTGTTTCCTCCTCCATGTCCTCTTCCCCTCTCCTCTGTCCCTGCTCACTAATGCAACCCTTCTTTCGTGGCCCCTGGTCCGTCAGGATATTAGTGCTGAACCACCTAGCACGAACAGGGCAGGCTTCGGGGCTGGTGGCGGCACTGACTCCATCTGCGTGCTGGGATTCCTCTGAGACCACCCGCTCCCTGGAGACCCCACTCAACTCGCTGCTCTTCAATCAGCGCCTCACTGCTGAGCTCTGCCACATTGTGAACCGGTAGGGTCTTGGCAAGTGGGAGGCGGCAGCAGACAGGGAGGGATGGTGGACATACCAGGTTCTCCCAGTGCTCAGGTCAGTTCTTTATCTGGGTTTGCTCACTCATGAGACAGACAGGGTCAGGTCCAGGCAAGGCAAACCTCTATGAGCTCTTTTGCAGAAATAGAAAAGTAATGGAAAAGGTGGTGAATGTAGACTTCGTGCTACAGGTACAGTCTTTCAACCACCAACCCCTGCCCAAAGTTGTTTAATATCTTCTTCTCCCTAGCCTCATCTTAGCCTACCCCACCCTCTACCCCGGGCAGGCCTGCACCATCCGCCAGTTTGATGAGCGCTACACAACTGTGGCCTTCGGATATCAAGACTGTGTTACCTACTACCAAACAGCAAGCCCAAGAACCAAGGTAGATGCCATCCCGACCCCTGTGCTCTGCCTCAACGCAGCTGACGACCCCTTTTCCCCAATCCATGGTGAGCAGCCTGAATCTGGATGCTTTAGAGGCCCCAGGGAAAATGGGCCATGAGGTGCAAGTGGAGCGCGCCTGGGCTCTCAGGAAAGGCCCGGGTTCCTGACCTCCTCTCCAACCCTCCCCAAGCCCTTCCCCTACAGGCTGCCCAACGCTCTGCCCACGTGGCACTGCTCATCACAGCCCAGGGTGGCCACACTGGCTTCCTGGAAGGGCTGTTCCCCTGGCAGCACTGCTACATGACCCGCCTCCTGCATCAGTATGCCAAAGCCGTCTTCCAGCACTCGGCGGAGCTGCTCAACCTCCGTGGTCTCTCTCCTCCCAGGAGAGGCAAGAGCTGACAGGAGTACCACCGGGGTCTTAATTCAGTCTTCGCTTATTTATTAAATATCAACTTTTCCCGAAGAACAGTCTGAGGTTCATTTTCCCTTTCCTCAAGGTTAGGGTAGACCATCCAGGAACTTACTGTGTCTGTAGCCAAGCTGGCTTGGAGCTACCAGCTGGACCCAGACACGACAGCTTGGGTTGTCCTTTTGCCCCTTCCTTCCCTAACTGCAAGTCCCAGGCCAGGGCCTGCCCCAGCAAACACGAGGGGCTCATGTGAAGAGCAACTGATGGACAGCAGTACCTCCGGGTTCTTGGGCATCCTCACATATTTCTGGAGAGAGGACAAGCTCAACTCTGGAGCCTCTGTTAGGCAGAGGGAAAGATGCAGGTGGCATGGCCTGGGTTGCAGGTACCGCTGTCCTGGATGGATCCATGAAGAATGAAGGGTTCCCAGGACTCAGAGTCACACAGGGCCATAGCCAAGCTTTCACTGGGCGGGGCAGGCAGTGCCCATCAGTCTCATCAGAAGCAACCCCAACTGTGGACCCAGGTAGGGTGAGCAACGGGGTCCAGGCCTCCACTCTGGTATAGAAGATTGCGGTGTCCACACCCCTGATTCCCCAGGAGCATGAAGGCTAAAGAAAACCTGGGAAGACACCCTGGAGCAGCACGATGGTCATAACAATAAGCCCGACACAGAACAGGAGCAACAACCAGACAGGAACACTCCCTGCACGAGGGTAAGGAAAGAAGTCAGCAGGCAAAGGGATTCACAGCCCTAAGAACAGAACCGTTTAAGAAGGGGGCAGATGGCTACAGATAAGCAGCCCATTCTCCAGAGGGGCAAGTTTATGCTATAGCTAGAGGTAGGTACCCCCCACCCCAATGACTCACTCCGCGAGGGCAGCAGGTGCAGCTGGCAACGACTATCCACAGCCACAGAGAACAGGGCAGTTTCATGGAACCCAAGGAGCTCTGGACCACGACCCTTCTCAGGTAGAAAGGCCACATCCGTCACAACAATGCCATGAGCCTCCTTCACATAGTAGAGGCGCTGGAGACAGAAGAACTAGTGAGGGGAGGCCTAGTTGGAAACATTCCTTCTGGAAAACATGCTCCCTGTCCCCAGACGGCCTTCCCTCTATGGGCTGGGCCAGACTCCTTCCTGCACACTTAGATTGAAGCAGGTCTAGATTCTCCCCCTCGAGAGCCCTCAGGGCTGCGCCCACCTCTACGCCTTACCTGGAGAGAGAAAGCTATGTAGATGGCCACAGAGCCGGTGACCGTGCCCAGGCCTAGGAAGGTACCCGATTCACTGCAACAAACAATGAAGTGTTCACTGTTCTGGAGGCCTGTGCAGCAAAATTCGCTAACAGTGGTCTTCAGAGCGTCAGACCAGACACCTGCCCGAGCTCCCCCAGGCACCCTGCGAGCAGTCAAGCCACCACTGTCTCACACCTGACACTAAGGCAGGAGATGACTTCATGGCCACAGGACTTGGTCCGAAGGGGCAGGAAGGTGGAGCCGTCCCAGGCTGTGAGGTAGCAGGGTGGGGGCTGGCGCAGACGCTTGTGGGGAATCTGCACTGTGAAGAGTCGCAGCCTGGTAGGTTGGTCTGGAACCTGCCCAAACCTGGGGGGGCCAGGCGGAGAGGCTGTTCAGCTCCTGGGGCCTGCCTAGCCCTTCTCAGAGGTCTGTACCCTCCTGTACCCTGGTCAGGCCTGGGGTAATACCCACCAAGGTTGCAATCCTCCCCAGCTTCCCCCCAGTGTTTTCCCACTCCCCCACCACATCTAGGCTGTGCCTCTTTTAGCTACCCTCTGGGGTCTCACACCTGCAGGCCTGGTAGCGGTAAGGCGTGTTAGAAAAGGTGGGTCCATTCTCTTGCCACTGCAGCTGTGTCACCAGCTGATCCTTCTGCCACACGGAGGCCTTAAGGTCCCAGCCCACAGTTACCAACTAGTCAGGAATCAAGATTCCAAGGATGGATAGTTAGGGGATCCACCTACTGGACAAGCAGCATCATCACCTAGTTTCTCCACCCTCTCACTTCCTCACCTTGCCATCAGGCCCCAAAGCCAGGTCCTCAATCTCTCCTTCGTGGGCTCTGAACTCCAGAACTTTTTCTAGGCTGGGTACCTGCAGCCAAACCACCAGCATGGTTACCCCAGGTACCTGGCAAGGCGCCACGATCCCCACCCGTCTCTGCCGCTCAGTGCAGGCTTCACTCACAAGTCTCCCAAAACCCATGTTCAGTTTCTCACAATTCTGGCCTTGTTGCTATCGACACTGATCCCCTAATCCCCCAAATCATACCTTCCAGATACGAACGTAGCCATCCGTCCCTCCAGTGGCAAGCAGGGTGTTATCGTGGTTGAAGCATACAACTTTCTGAAACGGATCAGGGCTGAAGTCTGTCTGCACCGCTTGCAAATTCTCTACACTGAGTTCTATCCTCTCCTGGTGGGTTTCAGCTCCAGACTTCTTCTCCACTGGGGCTGCCCCCTTCCTCTGTCGAGGCCCCTGCTCCTTGCAACCTGCAATACAAAGAGCCTGCCAGGTTCCAGGCTTCTACAGTAAGTAGTACTGGTCTCCTCCCTAGTAGTGAACATCCGGCTTCTTCCCTGCTACCACAACCCACACTTCCAGCCCCATTTCTTTAAGAAACCAAAATAAGTGATCTTACTCATTTAACCCTTTCCCCAAAGCGAAAGAGGGAGCTTCTCACCTGCCTTCTCTGCCTTGGTTTTGCCCTTCTGCTGATGGGTCTGGAAGCGCAGGAGCTGACAGTGGGCATCCTGCCCTGCGGCAAGGATGTTACCAGCCAGCGCCAAGTTCATGGTAGCCCGTGTCTCTGTGTCATGGGAGTGTAGCAAAGAGGCACTCAGGCGCCCCTTAATCTGCTCTAGCTGTAGAAAGTGCTGTGGAAGAGAGAACCAGGATGAGCAAGGTTCAGGGGTGCCCAGAGAGCACCTCAAGGGCAAACTTACATCTTACAGTCTAAAGCCCTACCCCTTTGATTACTGCACTTTCTACTTTAAAAGGCTTTTTCCAGCCTGCTTGCTTCTTTCCCTCTCTTGGTTTCTTTCTTTCAACCGCACAAATCTGTACAGCAAGGAGGGTTGGGATTAATACCTCCAGTTTACAAAATAATAGGGTGACCCTCAGAGGAGTGAAGAAACCCAGCCTAAAGGCCAAATGCAGCACTCCTGCCACTGCTCTCCAGCAGTGGGACAAGTCTTTGCGGCCTCCCCAGAAAAGTCCAGGATAAGACCCCTGGGGCTGCTCTTGAGCTCGAGTTGAAGCCTAAGTTCCTGCCTAAGCGGCGCTGTGTATTTTTACTCTACCTTAGGAGTTCCTGGTGAGTAAGTTCTTAGCTGAAATTCGCGCCGGGGCGCCCGAAAAGCCTAGACTTCCCACCGGGGAGAGGTAAGGTCTGAAGCTTGAGATGCGGCCATTCCCAAGATCCCCTACCACCATCACCCCTGGCGTGACCCGGCCCCAGTGGCCCTGAGCTCTCACCACGCCATTCTTTATGCCCGTCTTGGCAGCACCTCCTCCGCCTGCAGCGATGAGCAGCCCCGTACTGGGGTCGACCTGAAGCGCATACAACGGGAACGGGGCCCGGTACAGCTCTGGCGCCCGTCGCCGGCCCATCCTGCTCGCGGCGCGCTTCACTGTACGTACTGCGGCACCTGGGACATGCCCGTCCCGGCCGCTATTTAACTTGGTCCCGTGGCCCCCAGGAGGATTTCCGACTCCTCTGTCACACCCTCCGAGTTGCCAAAACTCTAACCCACAGTTTTGCCAAAACGACACTCAGGGAACCGGACTTCCGCTGCCGGTCTTAACTGGGTCTGGCTGTCACGCAGTGCGCACGCGCACCTAGCCCGCTGCTCTCCTTGCGCAGGCGCAGGACCGCCAATACGCGTCAGCACTAGCGGGCCGGTGAGCCAACACCCCCCTCAGGATTCCGTCCCCCTTGTGACGTCAGCCTCCACCATGTTTGTGCGGGGTCGAAAGGCTTGCCCTTCTTCCAGGGGCTCGGCTTGGTGATTCCGGAGGAGGAGGGGAGCTAATAAAAGTTAAGGGATGCTAGCAAACCTTTAATGAATCTGTGGGGGCTCTTGACTTGCTCAGTTGGTAGAGCATGTGACTCTTGATCTCAGGATTATAAATTTGAGCTTTGAGCCCCAGGTTGGATGTAGAGATGACTTAAAAATCCTTGGTTACGGCTGTCCCCATTTCAGGAGTGATACACAAGCTCAGTCCTTACCTTTTATCTGAGAGAGGGAGTGATTTGTTGCAGGTCACACACCTTGGAAATTCAACATTTGGGAACATGAACTGTGTCTTTTGCCTTTTAATGGAGGCAGAGTGGACTTTAAAATAAAACTGGCTTCAAATCCTCAATCCACCACTTCCTGGTTTTTGTTTTTTGTTTTTTATATTTATTTTGAGAGAGAATGAGAGAGAGCATGAGAGGGGGGAGGGTCAGAGGGGGAAGCAGACTCCCTGCCAAGCAGGGAACCCGATGTGGGACTCGATCCAGGGACTCGATCCAGGGACTCCAGGACCATGACCTGAGCTGAAGGCAGTCGCTTAACCATTTGAGCTACCCAGACTCCCCACCACTTCCTGGTTCAAGGAAACCGCTATTTACCTCAACCAAACACCTATCCCCTGTGGCTGGCAGATTTGAGAGTTGGCCATTCTTGTGGCTCTGCACACAACAGCATTCAAGGGTTTGGGAGGGGGCTGCTCCCTGCTGACACCCTCAGAGGGAGGCAGCTTGTCTCCCAGGCAGGGCAGGTCTCTTTTCTGCCTGGCATTTCCATCTTCCTGAAAGGGTGGGTCCCTTGGGTTTCTGATCTTCCACATCAGACTCTTAATGTTTCTCTGCAAGTGAACCCTAGGAATGTCGGTCCCTTCAAGGAGACACCTCTTGCTGCTCCCCCGGCTGCCTAAGTAAGCATTCTTGTTAACCTAAGGTGCACTCAGAGGAAGGAGCCCAGTGGCTTCATCTTTGGGAATGCTGTTGTCTGTCCCACCAGATTGAATTAAATATGTAAAGGGCCCCGCAGAGCTGTCTGCACATCTCAGGTGCTCAAGCCTTATGGACCCCATGCCCTCCTCAGATACATGGCACCTACTCTCTTGGTCACCCTGTTTGACTCTCCGCCTCCCCTTGTTTATTTTTTTTAAAGATTTTGTTTATTTCACAGAGAGAGACAGCGAGAGAGGGAACACAAGCAGGGGGAGTGGGAGAAGAAGAAGCAGGCTTCCCGCTGAGCAGGGAGCCTGATGTCGGGCTCCATCCCAGGACCCTGGGATCATGACCTGAGCCGAAGGCAGACGCTCAACAACTGAGCCACCCAGGTGCCCCCTCCGCCTCCCCTTGTTTAGTTGTGGTCCCCAGTAGGTTCAGCTACCCACTATGTCTGCTCAGCAGGACACCGATGTTTGTTGCAAGCTTTCCTTTCCTTTAGTGCCCACAGTTCTTGGTCATGCCACTTTAAAGAATGAAGAGGTAGACCAGACGACGAGTGGTGGGCAGCAAAGTTTAACAGAGCTCCTGAGAGGGAGGGGACCCAATTTGGCGGTTAAACCTAGGGGTTTTTATGGGTGATTTGGTGGAGCTGTTTTAATCTGATTAACCCTCCATGGGACTGTCACCCAATCAGGTTTTTTGTCCACACGCTCATCTACCTATCAGGTAATTGTTCACGTGGGAAAGGGTGGAGGGCTCCTTCCAGGGTGGTGTTTCATAGTAGCCTTCAGGGATCAAGAGGGCGGGGCTGCCACTGCCTTAAGGCATATGCTGGCCAGCCACAGGCCACTAGATCAAGCTCTTAGCTTAAATATCCCACTGGCTGTTGGCCTGCCCCCTCTCCCCCCGGGGCCTGGGTTAGGACACCCAAGGCCATTCCCTTCCTTTCTAAAGTTGTAAATCCTCCCAGTTGGAAGACTTAAAGCTGGGGCACTGAGTAAAGCCTAGAATAACAGAATGGGGACTTTTTCCTTTTAAGGGTGGTTTCCTCTTAGGACGGACGGGGATGGGGGGCGCTTACCCCTGCCTGCCTGCCTTCCGACTATCCTCCATCAATGTGGGAAATGAAGGCAAAAGAAAAATTAGATTTCTTTATAACTTAACAGCCCACTGACAAGTCCTTGAGACAGGCGAGGCGGTGACCTTCCCCTAGAAACTCCACTGCCTCAATGTTAATACTTCGCTAGAGGCAAAAGGCAACCTTAGCTTAACATTATCCCAACTTGCAGGATCCTGGAAGTCTCCTTTAACAAATAAAAATTCCTTTGAAAACTTCCTTTATCTCTAACCCCAAGATATATGTTAGCGATCATCCTCCAAGCATATGGCCCACTGATAAACATCTGAAGGGTCTCATGACTAACATTTTATTAGACAGTAATAAATGACCTTTTCCTAACAATAGCTAGCCCCCTCAAGGTCCTGGAAACCTTGCTTCCAAAATTCCTTAGAGACTTACGCTATCCCTAACCCCCTCCCAACTTGAAAGTATATAATCAGCCACTCCTCACAACTCCAGGGCAGCTCCTTCTGCCCACAGGTCCTGTCCCTGTGCTTTAATAAAACCACCTTTTTGCACCAAAGGCGTCTCAAGACCTCTTTCTTGACTGTTCACTCCAAACCCCAACATTTCCACATCAGACACTTAACACAAGTTTTGCAGGGTCGGGCTTTATTGATACACTATAGGCTGAATGGGGTCTAAGGTGCCCTTCATCTTCTTCAGCCAGGAGAGAGCAGACTCCATAAGGGGCTCCCAGGGTTCAAGGCTGGAGAACACACCTGACCTCCTGCCAGCCAGCCCTTCAGGGTGTCTCGGGGACTCCGCAAGATCGGGGGCCTGGTAGGGGCAGCGGGGCTCGGAGGAGGTGCTCCAGAGAGCCTCCTTGGCTCTGGAACTAGGGTGGTGACTTTCGGAGAATGGGCTCTGGAGAGGCAGGCCCCTTGGACGCAGAGAAAGGCCTGGGTTTCAGGGAGACAGTGGCTTGTTTGGGTGCCTGAGGTAGAGGCCCTGAAAAGCACATAGAGTTTGGTGACTGGAGGCCTGTAGATCTGAGACTCGCGGCCTGGGAGGGTGTGCCGCGGGCTGGATGGGTCCACGCCTGAGCCACTGCTGCCTGAGCTGCTGGAGCCTGGGATGCCCGGGTTTGATATCCATGGGCCTGAACAGCCTTGCCCTGAGGCCCTGCTTCCTCTGACTTTCTTTCTGGCAAGAGATGCAAGGCCCTGGCCTGGCCCCGAGGCAGGCGGAGGCCAAAGCCAATGCCTATGCGGAGTGGTCCGGATTCCTGGCCCTGTGCACAGGGCAGTAGCTGGGGGAAGGCAAGCAGCCGGGGTCCAGTCCTGTACCTGGGGATGGGGCAAGAGGGGCTGCGGGGCTTGAGGCACACCAGGCATATGGGATATTCTACAACGGGGGCCTGGCCGGTCCTGCCTAGCCACAGGCGCTGCAAAAGCAGTAACCGCAGGTCGTGTGCGATGCGCCGGTGCCCCAGATGGACCACCAGGGCCTGGGCCAGGGCTCCTGGGTCCCGGAACTCCGCAGGGTCCCTCTCGCTTGCCACGCATTCTCCCACTGCCCCAGGGGAGCCGGTGTCCCCGTAGTGATGCCAGGGCCATGTCTGCCTGTTTGAGTGGACCCCACCAGAAGGTAGGCTGGGGGTCGGGGAAGTGACGGTGGAGCTAGGGCAGTCTCCTGGGGGGGAAGGAGACTGGCAATGAGAGTGGGGGAGAGAGGTGTTCTGTAGCTGAGAGGGAGAGGAGGAATGCGTGTGAGTAGGGGAGGGGTATGGCCGGTGGGAGGGAGAGGAAGAGGGGGGGTGGGAAAGAGAGAAGTAATTCTGATGAAAGAAACTGGGGGAGCTTGGGAGAGAGGAAGAATAAGGGTGTAGGATAAAGTCAGAATTTGAGTCAGAAGAGTAGAAATGGGAGCCTAGAGAGTGGGACCGTGGCGGAGGGGAGCAAGGAGAGTGGGAGAGAGGGGGTGGTCGCTGGGGAGGCAGAGGCTGTAGGTTGCTGGATGAGGAGTCCACAAGTTGTGAGGGGCCCAGAGGGGGGCGCCCAGGGGGCGCTGCGTTCTGTAGCAGCACCTGGTCCTTGTTTTGAGGCAACATTGCCTTGAATTCAGAAGGGACTGGGGCCTCAAGACCAGAGACGAGAGACCTGGCAGAATCAGGACCAGTATCTCGGAGGCCAGACCTGGCTGAGAAATCAGGGCCTTCTGTGCGCACGTGTGGCTCCAGCCCAGGGTTGGTGCAGCTGTTGATGCCAGGACAAGGAGCCACCCAGGCCTGTAACACTAGGCTCTCTGAGTGTCTGGGTGGGAGCTTGGGTCTAAACTTGGCCTCTCACTTTGCAGTCAGCCATTGATGAGGGATGTATAGGGATGGAGAATCAGAGCTGCCTCTTGGGAGCTGAGGGACAGCATCAATCATCTGGGTGGGCTAGGGAGTAAGACACAGCCCATAGGACCTGTAGAGGAAGGAACAGAATCGGAGATATTGGGAGAATTGGTCCACTTCTGGCTCTGAAGACTGATTTACCAAGACCCTAAATCCTTGCACCTTTGGGATCAGAAGAGCTGGCAAAATGCTCCAGGGAAGGTGAGAGATGAGGAGAAGAATGGCGGGGCGGGGGGGGGGCAGGTAGAACGGAGGTGGAGGAGGGGGCTTGAGGATGGCCGCTGAGGTGGGACTAGAAATTGTGTTCTGGTGCTGTGAGCTCTTACCAATGAGGGTTCCTCTGAGCTGTGAGCTGTGTTTCACAAGGCACTTTAGCAGTGAGGAACCTGGGAGAGAGAGGGACAGTCACAAAATGGTGGCCACACCCCCTCTGTCCCCAGCATCTGTCACCCTAAACTCACTCTGACCCAGATTTCTGTCCGAACCTTGCCCTCGGTGGTCCTCCAGCCAGGAGGAGGTCTTCTGTTACAGATTTTTGCTCCCCTAAACCTGAGTCAGGGATTCTGCAAGCATCCTGGTTTCCTGCCCATCCGGTTTGCCTGACTCCTTGTCCTCTGCCTCGGCCGGGCCCTCAGCACGCCCAGCAGTGGGAGCAGCACCACCAGCAGCCGTGGGGCCAGCTGGTGAAAAGTTCTGGGAGACTGAACTTTGTCTAAGAGGCGGCGTTGCTGCCCCCCTCGGGAGCTATGAGCCCCATTCCCTGGGGGGCAGCTCTGCCTGGCATCTCCTGCCTATGTCACAAAGGTCAGGTGCTGACATAACACACTCTCCTCAAGGCTCTAGGACCTTCCTTCAGAGATCATCCAAAGGCTGGCCCTTGACAAAACTAAAGCAGACAGGGTGCTTGGGTGGCTCAGTCGTTAAGCGTCTGCCTTCGGCTCAGGTCATGATCCCAGGGTCCTGGGACCGAGCCCTGCATCGGGCTCCCTGCTTGGCGGGGAGTCCGGTTCTCCCTCTCCCTCTGCCCCTCCCTGCTGTGTTCCCTCTCTCGCTGTGTCTCTCTCTGTCGAATAAATAAATAAAATCTTTAAAAGAAAAAACAAAACTAAAGCAGACAAAATTCTTTGGGGGCACTCGGTCTCCCCGTCAGGACCTAACCTCCCCCCTCCTCTCTGCCCATATTTTTCACAGTTCCCACCGCCTCCTACATCTGGGGTTCTCTCCAAAGGCCTCTCTCAGCTGGGCTTTCTCTTCAAAGCCCTGTTTAAGAAAACATCTTTCTGAGCAGTGGCTCATGCTCTATACCATTTCCGCCCTTGGGATATACTTCTATGTTTTAATAACTATTTTCTCAACAGCTTTAGTGAGTATAACTCACACATCATAAACTCCACCCATTTAAAGTGTGCAATTCACTGTTTTCTAGTTTACTCACAGGTTACGCAACTATCACATATCTAAGCATGTTCTTCCTTTGGCTGGTATCTATATCTAGATAGATAAATGATAGTTACAGATATATCCTATTGGTGTCTTTCCAAAAAAGTATCTGTTTCATTTAAGTCATCTATTCTTATTGACATACAGTTGTGTATATTTATGTATAGCGATAGATAGCTAGATAGACAGGTAAGAGATTTATTATAAGGAATCGGCTCATGTATCTATGGAGGCTGAGAAGTCCGAAGGTCTGCAGTCAGCAAGCTAGATACCAGGAGAGGTAATGGCATAGTTCCGGCCCAAGTCCAAAGGCCTGAAAACCAGGAGAGCTGATGGTGTCAGTTCCAGTCCAAATCTGAGTCCAAAGGCAAGAGAAAACTGATGCCCCAGCTTGAAGATAACCAGGCAGCAAGAGTGAATTCTCCCTTACTCTGCCTTTGTTGTTCTATTCAGACCTGCAATGACTGGATGAGGCTCACCCACAATAGGGAGTCAAGTTGCTTCACTCAGTTTACCAATTCAAACATTAATCTCATCCAGAAACACCCTCACAGACACACGCAAAATAATCTTTAACTAAATATATGGGCACCCCATGGCCCAGTCAAATTAACACGTAAAATTAACCATCACAATATGTGACTGAAAGATGAGATGCCCTTCCAAGGAGCTATGATGCCTATATTAAAGAAGGCTGTGCCCATATCAATATTTCTAAATGTCAGGGTGCCTGGGTGGCTCAGTCTGTTAACTGTCTGCCTTTGGCTCAGGTCATGATCCCAGGGTCCTGGGATCAAGCCCTGCGTCGGGCTCCCTGCTCAACGAGGAGCCTGCTTCTCCCTTTGCCTCTCCCCCCCACCCCCACCCCCGCTCGAGCTCTCTCTCTTTCAAATAAATAAAATTCTTAAAAAATATATATTTCTAATTGTCTTTTTTTTTTTTTTTTTTAGGTGCCCTGGAGGTTTATTGAGTCCGGACAAGTCATAATAAATTTAGGAATGAGTAGGAGTCACAGCTTGTATAAAGTGAGAGATGGGCACTTATGAAAAGGTGGGTGGTGGGAAAGGAAAACCAGGCAAAATCTCGGGCACATCAGTTTTAGAGAGGAGGAAATAGGTAAGTTGAGATCCAGCCTTAGGGACTGAGGGACTTCCTGGGACATGAGACTTTTAGTGCTAAAACCAAGACAGTTCTGGATAAACTGGGACAATTGGTCACCCTAGAACTTGGGTCCTCTTGGAAAATATTCATGTTCCCCTAGGGGTATGAGGACCCCAAATTGAAGATGGCTGTTCAAACAAAAATTTCTATAATAACTTCAATTTGCACTAACCAATCTCTCCCTTAGTTTGTGTTAATTACTCTATGCTTAGTAAAATTTTATTGACCAAGTGAGTAGAGGTTCTCTAAGCACTTGGAGTCCAAGTTGGAAATGTGATATTGTAATGAATTTGTTTGAGTTTGCTAGTTGTTTCCTGTTATAGATATTATCTACCACACACTCTTTCCACCCTCCACTTCCCCAATCCTAGGCAAGAACACTGTGTTTTATTTCTTTCAAATGCTATATAGCATACTCTTTCCAGAAATCTGTACATGTTTCTTAAGAGGATAGATGAATGAATGGGTAAATTGAAAATTACTTAAGAAAATTTAACCTTGGCAATTTTTTCTTTTCTTTTCTGTTTGAGCTGTACATATGACACAGTAGGAAGGGGCTGTTTGCAGAACTACCTTGAGTATTCATGGAGAAATCATAATTATAAGAGAGGTGTCAGATAACTGCAGATCGGTAAATATTAAAAAAGGGGGGAAAAGACAAATTCTAGGATCTCAAATCAGTTTCTAGTTGTTTGCTAGGAAAATTTTCAACTGGATTATTAAATAGAATGTATGTAACCTCTTAGAAAAGAAACTGATGATCACAAAGGCCAGAGTTGGTTCAAGTAAAGTAAATTATAAAGTACTTGGTTCAAGTAAAGTAAGGGCCATCTGGAAGTGGCATGTTTGCTATGTCATTGGGGAAAACAATTATATCTGGACTTTTACTTTCCAGGATGAGAAATGTGCTCTTGACCATGCCAACTAAAACACAACAGCCTAAAGTAAGTGCCAGAATGCCAATTTTAAAAAAGTAGCTCACACAAATGGAAAATAATTCACATATTCTCTCTCTATAGTCTAGGTATTCGAGAAGACAAAATGTGATCAGAATCCACATCATTGATTTACTATGAGAAATCAGAGTTGCGGGGACTGACTTATTGCTTTCAATATCATCAGTATTCTAAAATCATGGAGCTAGACCTGCCTGGGAGTCAGAAAGATGTTTGATGCTTGGTCTCAGAAGAAGGGAAGTTGAGTAAATTAATGAATTAATTGCCTAATGGCACCAAGCTAAGAGAGTTAGTTTCATTCACATCAATAGAAATACTCAAATAATGTTGAGAGCAAAGTTCTACCTTTTCTGTACAGTGCTGGGATGAGTATGCCTGGATTTGCCTCTCCAACCCTTCTTTTCTTTCTTTTTTTTTAATTCATTTTAGACAGAGAGATACAGAGAGAGCGAGCGCATGAAGAGGGGGAGAGACAGAGTGAGAGGGAGAAGCAGGCTTCCCGCTGAGCCAGGACCCTGGGATCATGACCTGAGCCGAAGGCAGATGCTTAACCATCTGAGCCACCCAGGTGCCCTATGACCCTTCTTTTCTTACTCTTCCAAAGTGGATTGACACATTCTCTCAAACTAGCTACCAAAGAGACTTGCTAGATGGGAATTGAAATCTACGTACCTGTGCTCTGACCCATGGTGAGTTGCTTTTGCAGTTCAGCAATGCAATGTACCTTATACCCAAGTGCTTGTAGGAACTAAATATAGTCCTTAAGTACTTACCCATATGTATTTTCCCACATTGCTTTTATTTCCTACTTTGTAAATGAGTTTTATAATTTGGGAATTGTAATAATCCCTATGTATTTTTTTTTTAAGTTTATTTATTTGGGGTGCCTGAGTGGCTCAGCCAGTTGAGTGTCGGATTCTTGATTTCAGCTCTGGTCCTCATCTCAGGGTCGGGGGATCCGGCTCCGCACTCAGCGTGGAGTCTGTTGGAGATTCTCTCTCTCTCTCTCTC